CTCAGGGAAAATATGAACCGAGCCTAACTTAATGAGTTATTAATAGTTCCTTCCCCAGGTCAACAATAATAGATACATATTTGAACTTATCCATTATATAGAAAATATATTAAATGTGAAATGTTAGAGTATAGAAAAGTGCTGCCTTCCAGAATACTGTAGACTGAATTGTGTCCCCCCAAATTCAGATGTGATGGTATTTGGAGGTGGGACCTTTGGAGGTAATTAGGTTTAGATGAGGTCATGAGGGTAGGGCCCTCATGATAGAATTCGTGTCCTCGTGGAAGAGACACCAGAGAGCTTGCTTCTTCTCTCTAGAGCTTGCTTCTTCTCTCTCTCTCTCTCTCTCTCTCTCTCTCTTACCATGTGAGGACACAGGGAGAAAGTGGCCATCTGCAAGCCAGGAAGAGAGACCTCATCAGAAACTGACCATGCTAACGCGTTGCTTTTGGGCTTACCGGCCTCCAGAGCTGTGAGAGAACACATTTCTGTCATTTAAGCCACCCAGTCTATGGTTATTTTGTTAGCCTGAGCAGGCTAAGACATTGAATAAAATTAAAAGCCAGATATTCCCAAATGAGAAGTAAGTAAATCTTCCTTGTAGTGTAGATAGCTGAACGTCTCACCTTTCTCCAGAATTACTCCTTGTAATTATTATTGTTCCCACACTGGCCTGGGGTTCAGGGTGGGGTAGGGCTATTTACTTTAAAACTCAGACCCAAGTGAGGTCCTGAGGCCATTCCCACCAAACTCTGTAGACAGCTAAGACAGGCCTGGGTAGTTTGGGAAAGTGTTTGCAAATGATTAAGGAGTGACCATCGGCAACTACACAAACACCAAGTATGTCAGTGCAAGACCTGATTTGCTCTCTGGCTTCACAGTGCCCATGCAGGCCTAACTCTCGGTGGACACCAGATTCATACCAACCAACGAGGACCACATGCTCAGACTCCTTTTCTCCTAGAAATCTGGGCCCAAAGAAGAGCAGGATCTCCTGCTTGTGTCCATCTGGGAAATGCCCACAACCCCACCTAATCACTGCTGTCTTCCTGGGCTCTGGGAGCTGAAATGTCTGGACACTTTGGACATGGACAGAAACATAGGGTGAGGGTCTCAGTCCAGACCCGTCAGGGCAAAGAGGGAGAGACAAGGCTGCCTCTCTCACACTGGGGTGCAGATGGCTTCCTGATGAACCTCTGCCAGGAATTCGGAACCAGGTGAGAGAAGAAGGAGGAGAAAGCAATTGACAGAGCACAGGGTACTTAGAGCCAGAGAGATTGCCAGAAAGAAAGTCGACTTTTGCTGTCAAGTCATTTTCAAAGAATCACAATCTCTGAGAACACAGCAAGGACAAAATATGGAATAACTGAAGCAGGGGTAAGATTTTCACATCAAGTGGTACAAACTCTACAAATGTCAGCAACAAGAAATGAGCCAGGCAGAAATTATGTAAGTCAAGTCTAGTGAGAAGTTACCTCGTTCCAAAGCACTCATGGTTTTATCTTGTTCTATCTTGTTTATTTAAAGCTTGTGGGTTTTCCTACATATGTAGCTGATTTCATGTACTTTTGGTATTGCTACAGCATTTCTAACAGTTGTTCAATTTCTCCCTGAAAAGTTGGTACTCCCTAATGTTCCACTGATTTGAAAATGTTCAAATCCTCCTCCCCACCTCCACCACCAAGTTCCCTGTCACACCCATCCTCACAATGTATCATGTTGGCCCCACCTTTCCTTGCAGAAGGCATGCTCTGACACAGCGTGAGGGGCAGGGAGAGGTGTCATTTTGATCAGCTGGTTAGGACACCTACCAGTTAGCACAGGTTTGTGAGTTTGAGCTTGGCAGATTGAATCTATCTTCTGTACCACGGCTCCCGATTGCATTCCCAGCTTCCACCCAACCTCATTCAAGATGAGAATGATAGCAAAGCCTATTGTGGGTGGATCAGCACCTGCATATCACCAGACTTGAGAAGCAACTGTAGCAACACAGGCCTAATTATTGATCATCTCTATAAGCAAAAGACGGGTACCAAAATGTTAAACAAAGTTGTTTTGTTGTTAAACAAAATGTGCCAAGTTGGAAATGATTTCCCAGCTCTGAGCATCTCTCAACTAAATAACATGTGCCAAAGAAGTAAGCGTATCACACAACCTGACATTTCAAGGCATACAGGTAGTGAAAAGAAAAACAGAGGAAGGTGGTATTTCAGAATAAAAAAAAAAAAGAGCTGAGAAACAGTACTAGTTGGACTTTTTTGTGGTGATCATACTTTCTGTTTATAATTTTCCTAGTATTCATAACACTAGGTATAGATTTGGAACTCCCCACCCCAAGAGTCTCTTGCTGTCTTGATATGTCTCCAGAAGTTCATGTGCTGTATTTGTTTATATCCCAATCAAAACTTAGAGCACTGCACGCAGAGTACAAAAGTAAAACATCAATACGAACTAAAAATACCTGATGAAATTACAGATACATTTTCCCCTTGTATTTTTCAGTCTTTTCCAAGTAGTCTGCCATGAACATGAACTATTCTTACAGATAGAAAAATATGGAATAACTGATAGAAAAAAATCATTTAAACTGTCTGCTAATGAAGACAACGCTGTTTTGAATGTTCCGAAGTTTGTAATACGGGTTTTGCCTATTCTTTCTCCATCCCTTCTTTCACTCTTCAAACAGCCAGTTTTGAAAATGAGCCACTCTGTTTTGATGGTAGGCCAGGGTCAAATGAAACTACTTCTGAATTTCCCAAGTCCAGTATTTCAAACGAGAGGTTTCAGCTCACTGGACACATTCTAATACACTTGTGCAAAATGAAACGTTGCTTATGTGAATAATTAGCTTGCATAACGTGTGAAAGCAGACAGTTTTTCAGACAGTCATTGAGTGTTCTTCCCTCCACGCTCTTATAAATGAACACTGAGGGAGGGAGAAGGCCTGTCCTTGCACCCAGCACAGGGTTTCTGCAGTAGTGTGTAAAGTGTTTATAGAGAAATGAGCAAGAGTAGGTACCCAGCTGGCCAGATCAGACCTAGCGCTCAAGCAGAAGAAAAAATTCTGAACCAGACAATCATCACATCACCTTCTACAAATACCATCTAGTGCTCAGTCTTTAGCCCTAGCATTCGAGACATAGAGAATAACTGTGGTGCTTGGGGGTGTTTGATCCGCCAGCACTGAACTGGCTCAGTCGACTCTACCACTTAGTTATGATTTCTGTTTCTTTACTGCTGAAAGTAATACAGCGGTACCCATTTTTCCCCCATAGGACCCCTCTAGCCCGCTCCCTCCCCCCACCCCAAGCCCCAGGCCTTCCCCACACTATTGTCTGTGTCCATGGGTTTTGTATCTATGCATACAGCTTCTTTGGTTAATCTCTTCCCAACTACCACTCACCCCCACCTTCCCTCTGAGATTCATCAGTCTGTTCCATTTTTCTGTCTCTGGATCTATTTTGTTCACCAGATTATTTTGTTCTTTAGACCCCACATATGAGTGAGATCATGTGATATTTGTCTTTCTCTGACTGGCTTATTTCACTTAGCATAATACCCTCCAGGTCCCTCTGGCTAATTCAGAACTGCCTCTGTCACTCTGGGTGCAATGCAGTTACCACCCCCAGGCTGAGTTCTGAGTCTCTTATTTTGGAGTTTGGCCCAGCCGGGGGTTGAAACTGGCTCCAGACATTTAGCAGCATCACCAGATGGTAGGATCCTCTAGGAAGTAATTCTACTGTGGTCTTTCTAGCTCCCAATCAAGTCTTTGAGCAGCACTCTGCTTTCTCACCCAGTCAGCAGCGAACTTAGCTTTCTCATTCCTTAACTAACTAGTCTCTTCTGAGAAAGAGAGAGAGAGAGAGAGAGAGAGAGAGAGAGAGAGAGAGAGAGATTGGGCTCCTATTTCCCATATAAGCTAGTAGAAGGAGTATTCTTTTCCCCCCTGTTATCAGGATTCCTCTCCCCTCCAAAAAGCTGTTTTCCTTTTTTTTAGTTTTGCTTTTTTGTTTTGTTTTAAGAAATCCTTCTCCTCAGTCTTATCTGATATTTCTTAATTTCAAAAACAACTAAAATCTCAACCAGCCATCCTATACCACGAGCATAATCTGGGCTTGGATTTAAAATATGCCTGCCAAAACAAGAAATATAATTTATTTTTAAAGTAGTTTCTTCACAGAACAAGTATTTGGCTTTGGTTTTAGATTGTTTTATTTTTATTTGTTTTTGTTCTTGGCCAACCAATAAGTCTTCCTTCCTATTCATTTTCGTGTCTAATCCCCACTGATTCTGTGACCTCCCCAAACTTGTGCCCTGAATTCCTTTTTGCTTAAGTTAGACAGCTTTTGGTTAGCTGGCTTTGGTTTAGCCAGCTTAGTCTCTCAATAAACAAAAATATTAACCATTGCACCTTGCTTTACCTCTTCTCCCTGTTCTAAATTTTCTAGTGATTAAGCATAGATTAGATAACAGTCATCCAAATATTATCTCCCAGATAAATTTCCCAGGTCAGTAAGCTGAAATTAAAGAAATGGGGAGCAGGAGTTGATGCAAGAAGGGGCCACTCAGCAGCACAATATGGTGAGGTGTTTCTATCGGACATAGAAAGGTGAGAGGGCACACGTCCATCGACAGCACAGGATCCTTCCTACTTCAGAAATAATCGCTTCGGGACAGAGGTCATTGGGACTAGGAAAAAGGGGTAGGGGCAGACATCATTGGCAGGCAGTGACAGAACTGAAGTTACCCATCTCCTTACATATACAGGGCCATTACATGCTTTTACAAACATTATCTCTGCTGTTCTTCACAGCAATGCTGGGGGCTGGGGAGGAAAGCAGAGCAGATACGTGGTCTCCATTTTACTGTTAAAGACACCGAGCTTCAGAGAGATGAATTAAGTTTACAAAGGGTCCACATCTGCTCTCCTTTCCTTTAAAGAAACCAAAGAGCCAGGCTAAGCATTGTGCTGGCAGAGAGGAACAAACAGTAAATGAGTGGAGAGTTGCAGACCTTTAATTATTAACAGCTACTACCGAGGTTATACCACCTGCTAGGGGCTGAGTTGAGTCCCTTGTCTTTAAGATGAGGATAACATTTGGGGGCAGGAGAGAAGGATCAGGCAGCACAGCGGGTGCTTAATGAATGTTTAATGAATGGAGACAAGACGTGAGCTTGAATGGGCAACCTGAGAGAGGGCCTTAGTGCCCTACAAGGTGTTCTGATTCAGCACAACAGGTAAAGAGAAGACGCTGGCGAGGATTCGTGCAGAAACTCTGGATCAAATCTCCGTGGCTCATTGGTCAGTTGCAAAAACTTCTATACTCAGATTGCTTTTTCAATGACGTATTCTGAAATGAGGAACATCCCGTCTTCAACAACACACTGTGGCAAATCCCAGGGGAAAATAGTTTTCTTAGGCCTTGGGGTTGCTCCTTTTCACATTTCGAACTGCGTTTTGGGGGAGAGACCCAAGGTTTCTGAAGAACCGCGGCAGCGTGGAGGCGTGCAATCACCGTAAATTCAAGCCCAACAGAAAGGCGTCCCCGCCTCGGAGCCCGGGGCGGTCGCTGGCTCGGTGCAGCGTCGCCCAGCGGGCAGAGGCGGCGGGTGCGCTCGAGAGCCTCCCTCCTCCCGCAGCACTCGGCGCCCGCAAGCTGCCAGCTCCCAGGGCGGCCCGGGAACTCAGCCGGCGCTGGGAGGTGAGGCCGCGGCTGAGCGGGCGCCGCTATTGGCTGGAGGGGCGGCGGAGGCGGGGCGGAGCCGTCGTGATTGGCGGGGCCCCCAGCCGGAGGGGGCGGGGCCGCTATATCAGAGGAGTCCCTGTCGCGGCGCAGGCAGTCGGGCTGCTGGAGTGCGGCGCCGCCGCGGAGACCCGGACAGCCGGCTGGCGGGAGGGCGCGGCGGCCGCGGGGCCCAGGCAGCGGTCTGCTGGGCGGCAGCCTCCCGAGGGCCAGCCTCGCCGAGCCCGGAACTGGGTCTGATTGGTGGCGAGGCGGCAGCCCGGCGCACACCAAAGAGGAGGCGGCTGTGGAGGCAGCGGCGGCCCCAGCCATGCTGTGCTATGTGACGAGGCCGGACGCGGGTGCTGATGGAGGTGGAGGTGGAAGCGAAAGCCAACGGCGAGGACTGCCCTTACCAAGGTGAGGATGAAGGGCCAAGAGGGGACCTCACTGGTCCTCCAAGGCGGAGGGGCCTCGTGGCG